CACAATTCATAATAACTAGATCTTGCAACAACCTACATGCCCATTAACTGAGGAACAGATAAAAAAAAAAGATGTGATGTTTTTATGCAGTGGAGTACTACTCAGCTATAAAGATAAATTTGAGGCTTTTATAGATAGATGGATTCAACTAGACACTATACTCATAAGTGAAATAAATCAGACTTACAAGTATAAACATCCTATTGTCTCCTTTGTGTAAGAAACTGGAAGAGTAAATAATTCCACAAGGTAAAATAGATATTGTGAAAGAGAAAGAAACTGCTCAAAAGGAAAGAACAACTGGAATGGAGAAAAAGAAAAAGAATGGGGAATATATATATATATATGATAGCTAAGACAATTATACTACTAATTCTGCTAGTTCATGGAAAGAAATTGTAAATGCTTATATTGTTTGATGTTTTGCATGTCTGTATCTTGTAATCTGTGTTATTATTTCAAAGATAACAATACGCAATAGTGGTCATGTTAATTTCCTATCATCTTGTTTTAATCCTATATCGTTTCTTTTGTTTTTGTTTTGTTTTCCTTTAATCTCTTTAAAATTAAAAAAATGCCAATTAAAACAACACTGAATACCATTTTACTCCAGAAAGAATGTTATCATCAATACATCAAACAATAACAAATCTTGGCAGGCTGTGGTGTAAAAGGAACTATTCCCCACTGTTGGTGGGAGTGTAGAAATCCATGTGGAGATTCCTCAAAAAATCAAAACTAGAACTTCTTTTTGACCTACCTATTTCCCTTCTAAGGCATCTTCCCAAAAGTATTTAAGACATCACTGTACAGTGATACATGCACACCCATGTTCATAGCAGCACAATTTACAATAGCTTGATTTTGGAAGCAGCTATATATGCCCATCAGCTGATGTGGCACTTGTACACAATGGAGAAGTGTGCTGCCACAAAAGACAAACCCGAGTCATTTGTAGGAAGATAGTTGTACCTTGATGCCACAACGTTAAGTGAAATAAATCACACACAGCTTAAAACATGGCTTCTGTTATACAGGAAACCCAAAATATAAATAAAGAACAAAATAAAAACTAAGTAGGAAAAAAGAGAAAGTTTCCTAGAGGAGGTTTTGATTTATTAACAAAAACATTGTGATTTTCTTTCTGCATTTTGTGACTCTCCTAGTATCTGACAGCTTTGTAAAGGTGGCTAAGCTGTAGACTTCACTAACCGGGGGTCTCGTCCCATTCCATCCACTTTGCATTTTTGTCAAGTAAATAAGTCTTTGGATGTGAAGGAAGAGGAAAAACAGTGTTATAAACAGTTTAGTTTTTTGAGACATTTTTCTAAGTAGCCCAGACTGATCTTGAATGCAAAGTTATCCTCCTGCCTCAGGCTCCTTAGTGCTGGGATCACAGGTCTGCACCACCATGCCTGGTTACAAATACCATTTTTAAAGGAGTCATAATAATCTTGATATACTGAAGACATCAACAAACAGCACTTAGACATGATTCAATTTCTTTAGACTGTGTCGGTACATTCCTTTAATACTTACTTCCTTTCCTCATGCACTTATCTCAGACTTACAAATCGCCTAGAATTCCAGTCATCCATATGAAAGAGAATACAAAGAATTAGACCCATAACCACTGCTATTCTAGGTCTCCATCGTAAGCCTCGAACAAATTCCAGTCAGACTTTAGTTCTCTCCTGTCCCACCATCAGTCAATCAAACAGTGAGTGGCAGTGTCTCTTGTACAGCAGCATTAGCCTGTTCAGGAGCTTAAAACTCTTTGGAAACCTTGTTTGGTGTTGCTTTAGATTTTCTGTTTAAAACATGTACGATGGATGCATTAGAAGTGGACAAGGCTGCTCAAAAGGCCAAGTGGTTGCCCCAGCATGGACATGTCCCCTCCAGGGCAGGGGACATGCTTCTGCTGAACAGCATGATTGGGGTGGCGGTGGCTCAATCTTACTGTGCACTTCACACTGAAAGCATCCTCGTGAGACAGAAGAGCTGCCTGGTGACAGTGAGTCACCGATCTCTTGTCAGGCTGGGATCCTGCCCACCCTGGATGTCATCAAATATGGGTGTGGCAGGGTTTATGGTAGTGGGGTGGGAGAGAAAGAGCATCTCAGTGGACAGATGTCTCCTGAGTGTCTGGTGATTTTCTGCTGACAGTAGAAAGGCCTTTCTGATTTTCCTGGACAAAGGCAGACTTTATTCTCAATCCCACGTGTGTGGTTCTTGTTGACCATGTTAGTGACCTTGCTGTGGTTGTGTAAAGACCCTGAGGAAATCAGCCTTAGAAAGGCAGAAAGCTTTGTCTTGGTTCGTGCTTTCGGTCCATAGTTGCGTGGCCCCAGCAGCTTCTGGATCCGTGGTGGAGTCCACTGTGGTGGAGGTGCATGGCAGGGGAAAGCTGCTTATCTCATGGCATCCAGGAAGCAAAGAGAAAGAGTGTGTGCAAGGGGGAGGTGATAGGATTTTGGGAGCAATTAAAGAGACAGAATATAAAGTAAAAATGGCCTTTATTCTAAGAATGCGGAGACAAACTCCATGACCGCCGGGGTCTGGCTTTCTCTGCTGGACACGTGGTGTGGGGGGCATACATATAGCTTTGGTCTGGGGTGGTGCCTAAAGGTGGCATCGCTGATGCTCGAGTAGCTGATTGGAACTCTTTTCCCGCCACAGATAAGTTGCATAGAGGTCAGGAAAATGACCTGAAGGTAAACGTCCCTTGGTCCCGCCTCCCACTGCTGTAATGTCCTATCTAGGGCAAAATCCTTTCAGAGGGACAAGGTACCCCCTTCCAGGATCCATCCCCATTAAGCTACTTCCGCTGATGAGCCTCACTTCACATTCCCACTGCGTCCCAACAGTGCTACCAGCTAGAGACAACGCCTTGGACAGAAGGAGCTATGCCAGAGCCAAGTTGTCACAGTGACAACTCATTTGAACCAACCACTAACTGAACCATGTGGGGAACTTAAGTTGTCAATTAAAAAAAATTGAGTTCATGAATCTGTCACTGTAGTAAAAACTCCTTAAAAACAAGAAAGTTTCTCTTACTAGACTGGCCCTCGGGTAGTGTTTAGGAGCAGGGCTGGTACAGTTGCCTACGCTAATATAAAGCTGTCCCTAAAAAACTAAACCTGGCTACATGACACCATCTGGAACCGATGATGCACTATGCAAGGCAGAGCCAGCCAGCATTCAGACTCAACTCATTTAAAGTAAGATTTTCTTACTGTTTACAGAGATTTTCGCATTTTATTGCTTACAGTCGAAAGTACCCCCTCCATTTCTGTTTCTATTGGCTGATCTTAGAAGACTCTGAAATTATAGGCTGAATTTGGGGTTTACATCCCACACACTTTTTCATTGTGACTGAGGCCACTCAGCACCCCATGAAGTTTCTTCTGTGCACAAATGATATGACATCATGCATTCTGTGATTTTATGGAAATCAGACTTTTACTTCAGTTAGCCATGTAATATTCGTCAGAGCTACTGATCAGCCAAGTTCTAGTCAGTAACCTGGTATATGAGAGGCCACCAGCAGATCCACACCTCAGTGCCCATCCTAGAATGCTTTAATTCCAGAAATCCCACCCATTGTCCACATTATGCAAACTGCCCCTTCTCATACCAGACACACAGGAAGTAAATTAAGGGAAACTGCTTTTAGTAGCCAATGTGATAATGTGAACTTTAGTAAATCAAAGTTTATGTAGGTCACCATTAGTATTTTGATCTGAAAAGATTATATATGTAAGCCAGAATACACTTTACTCCTAGGGCATTTGCAGATTTTCTTATTACTCAGGGGTTGTGAGAACATTAAAGTCAGGACATGGAGTTTATATTTTATGATGGTCACCCAGAGTTAACACAGGAAAGTGCAGGAAATCTATCCACAACACTAAAGACATAGAATATTTAGCCAAGGGCCCGATCCTACAGCAATGTCCTGCATGAGTCCAGATGAAGACCCAGAGCTCATGACAATGCCTTCCAGGAGTCCCAAGTGGAGGTCTAGAGCCCACAAGACGGACTCACGCCAGTCTGTTTTATGGATCCATGCTGGGCAGGCCCAAAGGTCAGTGGCAGAAGCTAGAAAGTCTATGCCAGCAGGGTGAAGGAGCTATGCTGGTAGGTTGAGAGTTCTACACTGAAGCCAAGAAGTCATTCTCATAATGAAGACCAGGACTGTCCTGAAAAGCACCACAGCCATCCTCAGCAGCACAGAGGCTGCAAGCTCCTCCAATGACAAGTACAGTCAAATACATGCCAGGAAGCCAGCATGACAAGTTCATACTGGAGACCAAGCGGCACACGTCTTCCCCTCCAGAGCCAGGGAGCAATGCTCGATGTGAAGATCAGAGCTTCTCCAGGAGAACCAATGGCTCAAACAGCAACATACAGGAGAACCTACAATGCCTCAACACCTCAATACAATAGCTTCTACTTCTCCATGTCTCCATGCTGGCACCTTTCCTCAGGTGGAACATCTATGTTCAGCACGCCGCTGATGTAATCCAGCTGGCACTGTTGACCATCATTCTTAATCTGTAACACTCAGCCCACACTTTAAATGTTGGGAAAGCACAAAAAGTGTAACCAACTATAAGACAGGGCTATGGTTAAGATCAATAATGACCCCCAAACTCTTCCACACTCAGGAGGCTTCAGGAGGTGACTGGATCATGGGCCGCCTGCAGCTCACTTGTTAGGGGGTGGGTCACTGGGCCATGACCTGGAAGGGCGCATCTTCTTCCCCCAACTCCCCTGTCCTCAGTCTGCTCTTGGGCTGCTGTGATGTCGGCAGCTTTTCCTCTGCCCAGGCCCTGCCACTGTGAACTGTAACTGTGAGCCAAGATAAACCTCCTTCCTCCAACTGCAGGGGTCGGGTACTGCGGCTCGGTAACGAGAAGCGGCTAGGACAGGCTGAGCCATGCACACGCCATGCAGACAGTACGCCACAAAGTTCCTGACAATGCAAGTTTCACATATTTAAAAAACAAATCAGGCAGAATTTTTATTGCACTTAACCAACCAATGCACAAAATAGTAAATATTCATGATATGCAAATCCATTACCAGATTATAGATACAAAGCCATTTACATGCAATAAATATTACTTTCAAGAAAAGATTTTAAATAGAAGCACCAATATTATCAGCACTGTATTTAGACAATATCACAAAAAAGTATGGAAAACAGTAATAATCTGCAAATAGCAAGATTATTTCTATCACATTTTAAGTGTAATTATCTCCATTTATGAAGACTTTACAAAAGAAAATTTTAAAAATTAAACTTCACAGTAAATTCTTCCTCTCCTTAATTGTACTAAAGTATTCTCATTTCAAAGAAATAACTTTCAGTCTTTCTGAAGAACTATTTTTAATACTGGCAGTCTTCCTGTTCAGTTCGCAAAACAGAAATCTTTTCTTCTGTCAGCTTGAAGTTTAAAGCTCCACATCAAGATCTTTGTTCAGCATTTTCTTTTCCTTTTGGGTTCAGTGAACTCTGAATTAAACATAAAATTAAGAAGTTAGTGCTAAAAAATATTGACTCTTAAATGATTATACCGAGTTGATAATATGCATTAAACCATACATTCAACCTGCTATATAACACAAGAAGCTCTCTCAATGAAAATCCAAAACTCCTAGACTTGACATGCACATTATTTTTTCCTACAAAATGATACTGTGTTGGAGACCACTACCCAGCAGCTCTGAGCCGGAATAAAAATTAACTAATTGGCTATGTGTATCTGTAAGTCTGTCTTAAGCCTAGGCCCCTTGCCTGGTAACAGAAGCTGATTCATAGTAAGTGAACCTCTATGCATCACTAGTCCTGGCTGAGGCCTGTAGTGACCTGTGAGGTCAGAGAACCTCAAAGGGGATCCTAAGGCCACACCTGCGGACACTCTGGCTCCAACCCCAATTAACAAGCTAGAGCCTGAGCTGCAGAAATTACTTCTACAGTCTTACTTCTATCATGTCTTCATGATAAGACAGGGCTACTAAACTGCCAATTCATTACTTGGAGATGTCCTTGAAGTGACTCCCAAGGTCCTGCTCATTGCCTACACTTTCCTCAGTCCCCCCGCCCCGAACCACTCCCCCCACCCCTTGTTGTTGGACCTATTAAAAGTGGGTGGTTCAGAGAAGTCTTTGTCTTAATCCTTGGAGTCTCGGGCTCAGCTAAAGGGTTTTGACCCTCCTGGAGCCCTAAAATCATTATCACTTGTCTCATTTTATTTAAACCTCTGCCGTACACTCATTTAGGAGATTGGGGATCTAAGGCAGGACCCAATAATACTGCACTTTAGAACTATCTCCATGGAAAGAGTAGGCTCTAAATCACATTGAGGTAACAATCAACTGATGTAGTAGCCCTTCGTCCCCCTACACCCCACAATGATTGTAAGTTACTCTTAAGTGGTTTCACGGGACAGCCCTCCTCGTGATTGGCATGGTCCCAGTGTGCCGGATCTGAAAGCTGTCTAGGCCAGTGCCAGGGGAGGTGGTGACCAATAGTTCAACTCCACTCCAAGGAAACCTGAAGCGCAGCCCCAAACACTAGCCCCATCCACCCGTTTGTTCCACCCACCCAGCCTACCACTGGCGCTAAGCACCACTGAAGTATCCACCTTTAACAGAAGACACAAAAACATGAAAAGTAGGAAAAGTAGGAGATGAAAACAAATATTCCCCATCAAAGAATAACACAAAGGGGATGCAAAGGAGAGAAAAAAGAAAGATAGAAAGCAAGCAAGCAAGCAGATTCTCAGAAGAAAGGCAGCCAGCGAGAGAGCACAGCAGGCCGAGAGAAGCCCATCCAGGGGACAGCGAGTCAGAGGTTCCAGGAGAGGTCGGTGGCAGAGCACCCGGGGACCCGCAGTGCCGTGACATCATCTTCAGCTTAGGCGCTGGGGTTAGCCGTACACTCCTAAAACTCAGCAGAGCCAGCGGCAAAGGATCAGAGGAAGAACATGCAGTGGACCATAGTGCTTTCAAGGGCTGTAACTCCAGGCTCTAAGAGCACCCTTTCTCTCATTGGCCTGAGGACATTTCACCTGTACCTGTGTCATTAAAATTGTCATTTCCTTCTTCCTCTTCTGTAATTACAGGCATACTCAAACTTAAAGGTTTTTCTTCCTTCTGGATTTTCCGTACATTACCTGGAAATATTTGAAAAACAATTTTAAATGAAATGAAAATATTAATCATTTAAGAACTTTATATGTCATATGAACAACATAAAAACTTTAAAAACTGAAATAACACAGCAAATAAAAGTATGCATTATAAATATCTATTTTGAAGTACTAACATATTTGTGCCAATGGTGTGAATAGTCTCAAAAGTTTTCCACAAAAAAAAAAATGAAGAAAAAGAGAAACAAAATTAACCAAACATGGGAGCCTTATTCTGTATTTACCACACACAATATAGAGTGTATCTGAAGACATCGGGGAATAATTATGTGGGTTACGTCAACTTTAGCAAATTAACTACAAATGTAATTTTCAAGTTGATTCCACATTGAAGACTTGGCTATAATACAATCCTTGATGTGTTTTTCTAGCATTAATAATGGTTAACTCAACACATTCTTTAGTCACCAACCAAAACAGACCTTTAGCCAGGTATGGTGGTATGTGCCTATAATCCCAGCACTCAGGAGGCTGAGGCAGGCCGGCCTGGGCTACCGTGAGTTCAAGGACAGCCTGAACTACATGGCTGTCTCAAAACAAACTGGACCTCTCTATACCTTGCAGAGTCCTTATCTTTTCTCATGACAGTCCTGGATTTTTTCTAGTTTTTTAATAATGGCAATGTATTCCTTTGTATGTATGAATAATTTTACTTATACAATTTGTTGTACATTTGAATTGCTACAAGTTTACCATTTAGAATAACCCTGCAATAGATATGCTTATGCTTTCTGTCATTTGGACAAAAAAATTTCTAGAAATGGGACTATTAATGAGTGCACAGATTTACACTGCTTTACTTATTTTTGCTTTTTTGAGACAGAGTCCCGCTACGTAGTTCAGACTGGTCTTGAACTCATTATTATAGTCCAGGCTGCCTTCAAACTCGTGGAAATCCTTCTGCCTCAGTCTCTGGAGTACTGGGATTATAGGTGTGCAATATCACGCCCAGTTCAGATTTAAATTTTAGTGGATTAATTCCAAATTCCTTTTGAAAGAGGACTGCCAATTTACTCTCCTACTTAAATTCAAAGATGTTTACCTCCTCACACTTTCCCTATCAGTGACGAGTCAGTTACCTATGATCTTTGTTGATCTAGTAAATGTTAAAATTGTGTTTTTAAGCCAGGCATGGTGGCACACACCTGAAAGCCCTGCACTCAGGAAGCTGGGGCCAGAGGATTGTGGAGTTTGAGATGAGCCTGAACTACAAAGTGACACCCTGTCTCAAAACAAAACAAAAAACTTTTAATTTGTAGTTCTTTATTATTAATAAAGTTAAATTTTTCTTCATATATGCAAGAGTTTTTTGCATTTTGTTTGTGAACTGCCTATCTACAACTTAAGCATTTTTCTCCTGGGTTATGCCTTTTTCTTATGGATCTTAAAAGCAGTTCTAAAAGAAATTTTCACAGTATCAGATGTGCTGCAAGTGATTTTTCAAGATCTTCTGCCTTTTAAGGAACATAAGGTTCCTCTCTTTGAAGAAACCATGAAATAAAAACTATTTTTTCCGCTTTAAGGAAGTGAGCTTTTGACAACAGAAACCATGAAGTACAGTGATGCCTCAGTTCATGAACTTAATTGGTTTCACTACTCTGTAAAAGACAGCCATGTTCGTGCTGGTATGGAAAGATGGCTGTGGCTGTCTGTCACTCAGTGTAGAGTTTACAAACAAAAAACAAAAGTTTGCCAGACACTTCTGCTTGTGATCCAAACTGCAAACAAAAGCATTCATGAATAACCGTATTTGATGTTTTTTTTTTCTTTTTTTCCGGTACTGGGGATTGAACTCACAACCGCCTGCTTGCAGGGCAGGTGCTTATGCTGCTGAGCCCCCTATTTGATCTTTATTTAGGTAATTGCTGCTCTATGTCACAGTATTTATAGTACTTGATGAGCTACAAGGCTACTTGATGAGTTAGAACAGTTACGATGGAAGATATGAATTCAGATCATATTTAATTATAATCTTTCATGTGGGTTAAATTTTCCCTAACTCCCTAGGTAAATTTACTATATTATGTAATATGATATGGCCAGTTCAGGAAGTAGTGTTTGTAAATTATACCTGTCAGACATTTAAGAGAGAACAAATTTTCATTTAACTCCTTTCCTTTCCTATCTTGTTCCTCAACCTCAAACACCTTGTTCCTAGGTGTTTGAAAAAACACTTTTACCAGCTTGCCTCCCTACTGTGCTTGTACTAAGGCTGATTCTAATCAAAACTGCTGGGGTGGGGGTGGGATATAGCTCAGCAGTGCAGCACCTGCCTGGCAAGCGAGACGTCATGAGTCCAATTCCCCGCCCCAAGCCCCCCCCAAAACTGCTGTGTAGGTTTCCACAAGGGGTGATAAAAATACAGTGAATGCCTGATTATTTTTATTTTTATTACTACAGTAAAAGACATATTACCCACAATACCTCCCTTTGCTTCAAACATACTTGCCCTATCGTTCTGGCCACTTTCTGGAGCAGCACTGGGCATCCTCTCTTATGGAGGTGAGATTAAAAATACACTGAGGGCCACTGCCCTGCTTCCCAACAGAAAAGCAGGCTGGTGAAAACGCTAACTGTGCCTCCATCCGCCTTATTCACCAGATCCAGCACCCAGTGAATTCCGTTCTTCTCCAAGGCCAAAGTGACCATGAAAGGCAAACACTCTGAATCAATGCAGGACATCGACACAAAAGTGCCACAAAAGTGCAACTAAAAACACAAGCAAGGACTGACTGCCAGAGCTGCTTCAGAAAGTGGGAAGAATCACAGGGTTTGAATTGAAAAGTGTTTTGGAGGGATTCATGGCAGTGTGTCTTTAGTTATAATTTTTATTTAAACACATGCAGTATTTTTTATCGCACCTTATACATTTCAGTATCTTTAGAAAAATTATTTTAACCACCAGATGTTCATTTTTCAAATACAATGAAGTACAAAACTCTTTTCCTCCCCTCTGGCTTTGTTTTCATTGTTGATCAAGTTTACCAAAGTATTACCATACAGTAAAATACACTTCTAGGGGCCTGCATAAATGTATAGCTGTGTAAGCACTAGGGCAATCAAAACACACACATCATCTCTCCAACGGTTTTCCTGGGCTCTTCTGTCACCACCACCTTCCCCAGTCTCCTCAGTCTCTGGCAACCACTGCTCTATTTTTTGTCCTCTAAGATCTACCTTTTCCAGAGTATCACATAAATAGAATTGTCACAGGTAGACTGTTTGTTGGGGAGTCATGGCTTAGCTTTTACTCAGCAAATGCCTGCATGGCCCATCTATGTTGTAACATGTTTCAGTGGACCCTGTGCTGCTGGATAGTATCTCACTGTACAGTCATACCACAGTTTATCCAATCACCAGCTAATAGGCAGTTTTTACAATTATAAATAGAACCACTTCTACATACCAATTTTTGTATAAATGTTCATTCCAATTGGGTAAGTACCAAAGAACAGGACTTCTGGGTCTTTCAGCAAGTATAGGTTTATATCTCTATTAAAAACTACCAGTTTTCCAAAGTCACTATCCCATTCTGGCTTCTTACCAGGAACATACACAGGTTACATTTATTCAGAATCCTAACCCGTTCTTGTTATTGCAATTTTTGGTTTTATGTTTTGGTTGTTTTTTAGGTCATTCAGAGTTAAAAGAATGTTGCTGTGCTCTAGGTTTATGTTTTTCCAATAACTAAAGACGCTGAGCATCTTTTCATATACTTATGTATCACTCATATTTTCTTTGGCAAAATATTTCATCCACTTTTCAGTTGGGTTAGTTGTTATTATTGAACTGTTAAGAAGTCTCTATGTATTCCGTATACAAGATCTTTATCAGAGTTCCGTATGACAAACACAGTATTTTCCCCTAGCTAATAATGGCTTTTTAAATTTTCTTTTTTTTTTTTTTATTTAAAGAAAAGGAAACGAAAAAAAAAATACATGGAGATTAAAGAAAAAAAGGGTAGAAAAATAATACTAAATTACAGACAAACAAAAGGTAAGAAATTGCCAGTTGATAAGTTACAAATTGTCTTCTTCGAAATGGCTGTTTAGGTTATAGAATTAAAGTATTTAGAATGACATTCAAAAAAGTGACCCTACAAACCATTCTGCTCTATGGCCGAACAAAAGCTCCGTAATATGATTATCAGTCCCACCTATTTGTTTTACATCTCTAAGAGGATAAGGTTAACCATATCAAAACAGAACAGAACATTTAAAAAAAAATAAAAAACAATTTAAAGAAATACAGATTTCAAAGCAAGTCCACTGGAGATCTACCTTATCTAACTGTCTCTAGCTTCTTACAGATAGTTGTCCCTAACTTCACCCACTTTCTATACTTATTACATATTATAGAACTAATCAAATCATTACAGGATGATGGAGTCTTTTTAGGTCCTCAAGTTCCAAATTAGGGAAGACATTTCCAACTACCATCGCATCTCTCATTCTCTTTGTGATAGCCGTCCCCATCTCTGCATATGCTGAAGTTGAGCTGAAGAAACCAGTCCAGAGTCATTTTAATCAGCAAGCAATAGATTGCTAGAATTTATATTATAATGCTACAAAATAAGCCTCGGGTTTTTCAGGTCTCTTCCTCAGAGTATTTGTTCCTATCCTCTCTGTATTATAGGGAAAACCAAGTCATAACAAGACAGCGAAACAATTTCCTAGATAAACATGCAATGGATAAGACTTACAAAACTATAATATAAATGATCTTCCGTAGCTACTATGTTTTCTCTTGTTATTTTCAATAGATTTGTTGACAACACTGGCTTATTATAGTTAAATATACTATCACCTATTTTTATAAAAACTTATCTTTGACTGCATTGTAGTATTTGAGAGCTGTTACTGATTCATACCAGTATGGATATCCTTTACATCCTGTCATGCTCAGAGTAGTTTCCTCTACTTTTAGGGTTGATTCTAACAAGCATACGGATTTCAAATAGGATC